CATTGATTTTAACATGTAATATAATGGAACTTTATTGTTAAATATAAGCAGTGTTTACAGAATATACATAAAAATATAAATTGAATTTACTAAAAGCCATTATTCTATTATTTGTTAATTCATTGAGCGCCTTCAAAAATTATTAGATTGAGATTGGGATTGAGATTGATTTCTATCTGAGATTGAGATTGGATTTTAATATGAAATTTTCAATCTAGGTAGTGTGAGATTGTAAATGGGGACTGAGGAAGTTCCGAGCATGTCGATCAATCGGACCCAACTTACTGCGGCAGCCACGTGATAATGACATCATTTTCTGTTTTATCTTAATATTTTGTGTAACAACTACTCCACATACTGCGTCATGTTACACATTACATCATTTCTATTTTTAACTTGTTTTATGACATAATTCAGTCAGGAATTTTGCTAAATCGGGATGCGTAACAAACAATGTTCTAGAAATTTTTTCCCCAATAAAATTTTGTAAAAAAGCCATTTTTCTTTATTGATCTTGTGACTTTTTTTTTTAAGGAACCTAAAAAAAATACTGAAGAAACATATAGAAACGCATATATTAAACCATAATCAGTCATTAAACAGTTCAAAGTGTTGAGGGATCTTGGTGATCTGGGTATTAAAAAAGTTGGACAAAAGAAGTATGATTTGAATTTATAAATTTTTATATTCATTTATTTAATTACTACATTATCTGTTAATGATTAGCAAGTCAAGATTTTACAAACACATGAATTTTAATAGAAGCTAATTGATGATTTCTTCGTTGTAAGTATTTTCTTTTTGTAAATTTTCTTTTCTTTGAGAAAATGATAAACTAGATCTAAAACCAACGAAAAAACTCAAGTTAACCATCAATGAAAAAGACAAAGACCAAGATCAAGGCCGAAATCACCAAAATCTTTTGTTGAAATAAATTTCTCTGAATGTTTACATGTAAGAATCACTAAAAAAAAATTTTTTTTATTCAAAAATTTACTTATTAAATTTATATATTTAATGGTTTATGAATAATTATACTAATTTTTATTTATTATATATTCAATGGGTAAAGTGAATAATTTAATCATAATCAGAGAGCAAATAAATTGATTATTTTTATGGATTAAATCATTTATCAGGTTACTGATTTTATGTGCGCATATATATTACATTATAATTATAAATACACACAATATTAATTGATTATTTTTATTAAATAGCTATTATTGAATTTATACACAATATTAAAATTATCTATCAGGATAATATACTATATGTTAAATCACGAAATCATCATCCTTATATTGCTTAATCCTACAGTTCAGAAATTATATGACCAGTTAATAAAGCTCTCGCCATGTTTTTCTTTAATTGTTTTTTAATGTAAGGATCTGCATAAAATTAGCCAATCAAATTTCTTCCAAAATTTCTTCCAGAAATTCCAGAATGTTTATCATTTATAAATTAATAAATACCAAATTTAGCAAAATTCCTGACTGTAATTATTTACTTTGAATTATTAATTCAATTATTTGTAATAATGACTCATAGGATTAGTCATTATGAGTCATAGCATTAGTAATTAACGATTAGTAGGCTAGTATTACAGAAAATAGGATTAATAAGCATATATTATTGGAAAAATATTGTAAAGGTCATGTTATTTGTAATACCTCAAGAGGTATAAATAGGCTTGGTTTTAGACCAAGTAAGAATCATCATGTTCATGATACAATAATAATAACAATATAATAACCTTGTAATAGAAATATTATCGCTAATAAAGACACATAACATCTTTACAATAAAAAATTTGAACTCCTAATAAACCTCTTGATAAACCTTTGCTGAAAAGCATACCTCACCTTAAATTAAGACCATACTAACTAAGTGACGCCTTAGTCAGACAGTGGAACATTTATTGATTATTTTTAGGCTTTGCCAGCAGTACTTCCATTAGTACTGTAAAGAGAGGTTGCACAATAAAGAGGCTCTGAGCTGTGTGCCGTAATCAGAGGCCGGAATTTAAGACTCTGAGCTGTGTGCCGTAATCAGAGGTCAGAATTGAGAACCCTGAGCTGTGTGCCGTAACAGGGAGATTTATATATTGGACCTTTTATTTTATTTTATTTTATCTTATATATTTTATTGGACACAACCCAAGCTGTAATTGAATTTACACGCTCGCAATATTTATTATAAATAAATATCATTATTTAATAAAAACAGTAGTAATAGTAATACATGATAGATAAAATTAATTAGTAAATTGTGAGGATGCAAAAATGATCATATTTTTTGATACATTTTTTATTATTATTTTCTTTACAAAAATTTCACTTTGCTACTTGGAAACTCTGGATTCAGAAAATGTAGTGTAGTATCTACATCTATCGTGGATCACGAATTAAATGTATCCATATTCATATCCACAAATAAAAAGATATCATTTAATAACAACAACAATAAGAGTTTAAATGATTGATTACACCTACCACTGTTGATTGCCAGTTAAATTACAAGGGTGAAATGCTGGCCCTTTCCTTGAATGTGAATACTATCATATGTAAGGTTGCTGCTGAAACTCTGCTGAAATTCTGATAAACAATTAGTACCTTGCCAATTGATTTCTGGAGGAGTTTTGGTAAGCAAACATAATCATATAATGTCCATCACAATATTTATGATGATTAATGTGGTGTATTTAATGTTATTATTCATAATAAATAATTAAATAATTGCATCACCCCAGTAATGATAATACCAAGACCATGCAGAAATGGACTTTATAATTTTGAAAAAAGTCATATAATGAATATAAAAAATGAGAAAATTTGGTAGAATTGGAAAATAAGTCCTCGATATTTTTGTTGAATTTTAATCTGAACTTCCTTTCCATCTAGGAGAATGGTTTCATTGTTTTGTCATCAAAATTTTTAATGATAAAGTCTCTACTTGGCTCCCTTTTGTGTGTTTTTGTATGTGTATGCTTCCCAATTGTATACAATTATAAGTCCTTAAATTATTTACAAAAAAATAATTCTGATATTGATCATAGGTATACATGCTGCTAGATTAAATAATCTGAGAATGTACAGTGTGTAACAAAAAATTTTGGAAAAATTTTCACAAATTCAAACACTAATAACTTTCCCAAAATAAAAGTGATTCATTTCATGTTTTGAATATATAAAA